TCACCTCAGCCTCCCAAAGGCGCGGGATTACAGGCTGAGCCACCAAGCCTGGCTTAAAAAAATTAATAATAATAGCTAGGCATGGCGACTCATGCCTGTCATCCCAACACTTGGGAGACCAAGGCTGGAGGATTGCTTGAGTCCAGGAGTTTGAGAGCAGCCTGGGCAATGTGGCGAGACTGAGTCTCTACAGTAAATCCAAAAATTACCTGGATGTGATGGAGCCTTTGGTCCCAGCTACTCAGGAGGCTGAGGTGGGAGAATTGCTTCAACCCAAGAGGTTGAGGCTGCAGTGAGCTGTGATCACACCATTGCACCCTAGCCTGGGGGACAGTGAGACCCTGACTCAAGAAGAAAAAAAATCACTCCTACCCATCCACCCCTGCCTCACCCTGCATCTGTTCCCACCAGGAGGAGCCCCCAGCTTGGGTGGAGAAGGTCAGTGGATTCCAGAAGCTTCTCCGAGACGGGTGAGTGCAGGACAGGGGGTGGGGATGCTGAGCGCCTCCCCTGATTTTTCTGATCCCTGCCAGCATGGTTGTGCCGGGGAGGGTAGGGCAAGTTTGGTGTGAGCCCACGGGAAGGTGCCATGTCCTGAGAGGGGTGACGGCCCTTGGGGGAGGCCACCCTAAAGCTGAGGTTTAGAGGTTGGATCAAGCTGGCGTGCTTGGGAGAGAGACAGGCTCTTCCCTTCCAGACTCGCCCAGAGACAGCAGCTCCGAGGTCCACAGGGTGCCCAGCACACAGAGCCTGGAGGACCGAGGGTAGGTGCCTGGAAAGCACTCCCAGCTTGGAGTCTTCATCCCGGGCCGCCTTCCCGGGCGGCCTCCTCTGCCATCCCGCACCGGGCATCGTGGGGGGCTGCCCTGGGGCTGTCCAGGAGCCTAGCCCCCCGTGCTGCCCCTCTCTGCAGGTACAGCCCCGACACGCGGGTGGTACGCTTCCCCAAGGGCGCGAGCATTGGGCTGCGGCTGGCCGGAGGCAATGACGTGGGCATCTTCGTGTCGGGCGTGCAGGCGGGCAGCCCGGCCGAGGGGCAGGGCATCGAGGAGGGCGATCAGATCCTGCAGGTATCGGGCAACCCTGCACCGGCGGGTGTGGGTTGGCCGGGTCAGTGAGTCCTCCTTCGGGTCCTCCCTGGGAAGGTCAGACCCCAGAGGGGTGCTGGAGCATGTCAGTGTCGCCCTGCCTGGGTTGCGACCTTGTTGGCAGAATCACGACCTCATCTCCAGGTCACAGCCTCATCCTCAGGTCATGACCCCACCCTCAGGTCATGACCCCATCTTCCAGGTCATGACCCTCATTCTCTAGGTCATGACCTCACCTCAGGTCACAGCCTCATCCTCAGGTCATGACCCCACCCTCTAGGTCACGAGCTCATCCTCCAGGTCACGACCCCACCCTCAGGTCATGACCCCACCTTCAGGTCACGACCCCATCCTCCAGGCCACAAGCCCATCCTCCAGGCCTTGACCATGTTGTCCAGGACACAACCTCATTTTCGGCTCAGACCTCCTCTGAGTTGCAGCCTTGCTGTTCATGTCAGGACCCTGTCCATGTCACAGCCTTGTCAGTGTCACAGTCTTGTCTGGGTCACAGCGTCATTGTCTAGGTCGTGGCCTTATGTTCTGGTCACAGCCACATTTTCGGGGTCACGACCTCATCGTCCATGTCACGATTTTGTCCAGGTCGCAGCCTTACCATCCGTGTCACAATCTCCTTGTCCCTGTCACGACCCCATGACTGCGTCCCAACTCTTGAGTGTATCACAATACTCCCACGGAGCTCCGTGGTGAGACCCCCATCTCGGTGGTGATGGCTCCACGACGTGGCCGGGCATGGTTCCCTCACGGGTCGGAGGCCACCAGCCGTCTCTGCAGAGTGTGAGGTCCCGGTCGGCCCCTGTGCGGGCTGACGTCCCGGTGGGAAGCCTGGGCTGAGCCGCGGGTCCCTGGACGTGGCTGCGGGCCATCGGGCCAGGCTCTGTCCTGAGGAAGGTCCGGGTCTCACGTGCGTCCCTGGGCCTCGACCCACAGCCGTCCCCTCCGGCAGGTGAACGACGTGCCGTTCCGGAACCTCACGCGGGAGGAGGCCGTGCAGTTCCTGCTGGGGCTGCCGCCGGGCGAGGACGTGGAGCTGGTGACGCAGCGGAAGCAGGACAGTGAGTGGCGCGAGTGTGGGAGTGTACGCACGACTGTGTGCGAGCGTGTGTGCATGGGTGTCTGCAAGTTTGTGGGCCAGTGCATGTGTGCACAAGTGTGTCTGTGCATACGTGGAGACCCGGCTGCATGACCCAGCGAGGAGAGGGAGTGGCACATCTGTCCCCCAGGGTGGTCCGGGGAGGGCCGGGCCAGGAGGCCGGGCTTTCCCACGCTCACGTGTCACCCCAGTCTTCCAGAAGATGGTGCGGTCCCGCCTGGGCGACTCCTTCTACATCCGCACGCACTTCGAGCTGGAGCCGAGCCCTCCGTCCGGCCTGGGCTTCACCCGCGGCGACGTCTTCCACGTGCTGGACACGCTGTACCCGGGCCCCGGGCCCAGCCACGCGCGCGGAGGCTACTGGCTGGGGGGCCCCGCATGGGCCGAGACCTGCGGGAACAGGAGCGGGGTGTCATCCCCAGCCAGAGCAGGTGGGAGTGCGGCGCCCGCCCGGCCTTGGCTTCCCCTAGAAGCCGGTGGGGTGTCGGCTTAGGCTGGTTGGTGGCCCGAGTGGGCCCAGAGGATCAGGGTAGGACCCGTTGGCCATGTGTCCCTTCCTGTTGTTGCTGTCACAGGTGATCCCAAACTTAGTGGCTTTTCTTTTATTTTCTTTCTTTCTCTCTCTCTCTCTCTCTCCCTCCCTCCCTCTCTCTGTTTCTTTCTTTGTTTCAGTTGGAGTCTCACTCTTGTCACCCAGACTGGAGTGCAGTGGCACGCTCATGGTCACCGCAGCCTCGACCAGCTGGGCTCAGGCGATCCTTCCGCCTGAGCCTTCCAAGTAGCCAGCACTACAGGCACGCGCTACCACACCCGGCTAATTTTTGTGATTTATTATAGAGACGAGTTGCCCGGGCTGGTCTCAAACCCCTGGGCTCAGGCAGTCCTTTCGCCTCGGCCTCCCAAAGTGCTAGAATTACAGGCTGAACCACCGCGCCCGGCCTCTTTTATTTTTTAAAGTAAAGACAGGGTCTCACTATGTTGCCCAGGCTGGTCTCAAATTCCTGGCCTCAAGCGATCCCGTCACCTCAGCCTCCCAAAATGCTGGGATGACAGGCCAGGCATGAGCCACCACACCCAGCTGGCTAGGCTGTTTTTTGTAATTGACTGATTGATTTGAGATGGGGTCTCGCTATGTTGCCTAGGCTGGTCTTGAATGCCTGGTCTCAAGCGATGTTCCCACCTCAGCCTCCCAAAGTGCTGGGATGACAGGTATGAGCCACTGCGCCCAGCTGGCTAGGCTGGTTTATTAATTGATTGATTGACTGAGATGGGGTCTAGCTATGTTGTCCAGGCTGGTCTTGAACTCCTGGCCTCAAGTGATCCTCCCACTTCAGCCTCCTAAAGTGTTGGGATGACAGGTGTGAGCCATGGTACCCGGCCCCTTTCATGCCTTTAAACAATTCAAACTTGTCCTCTCGCTGCTCTGGAGGACAGAAGTCCTAAAACCAAGCTGAGGGCAGGGCCAGCCCCTCCGGGAGGCTCCAGGAAACCTTATGTCCCCTTTGTCCCCTTGTGAGGACCCTGTGAGGTCACGGGGCCTGGGTCACCAGGACGACCTCCCGCCTCAGGGTCCCTCACCGAGTCTCACCTCCTGAGTCCCCGTTGCCGTGTGAGTGACCTATTTGCGTGAGCTGGGGATGAGGCCATCCTTGGAGCCAGTGTCCCCAGCCCCGTTGCACTCAGCCCTTTCCCCATCCCCCCAGGGCGGAGCAGCTGGCCAGCCTGGAGGCCGTGCAGCGGGCCTTGGGGACCGGGCCCGGCTCCTCCTCAGTCTCCAGCGCCCGGGCTGAGTTCTGGCGGCTGCGGGGTCTCCGTCGAGGGGCCAAGAAGACCACCCAGCGGAGCCGCGAGGACCTGTCAGCTCTGACTAAACAGGGTCACTACCCACCCTACGAGCGAGTGGTGCTTCGAGAAGGTGGGGCCCCAGGGGACACGCAGGAGTTCGCCAGGACCAGCCTCTACAAGGACAGTCCCAGCCAGGCATAGCTGCCCATGCCTGTCGTCCCAGCACTTTGGGAGGCTGAGGCAGGAGGATCGATTGAGGCTAGGAATTGGAGACCAGCCTGGGGGTACAAAATTTTTTTTTTTTTTGAGTTGGAGTCTCACTCTGTCACCCAGGCTGGAGTGCAGTGGCACGCTCATGGCCACCGCAGCCTCGACCTGCTGGGCTCAGGGGATCTTTCCGCCTTATCCTTCCAAGTAGCTGGAACTACAGGCATGTGCTATGACACCCATCTAATTTTTTGATGTACTTTTATTGTAGGGATGAGGTCTCGCCCAGTTGTCCAGGCTGGTCTCGAACCCCTAATCTCAGGCAGTCCTTGCGCTTTGGCCTCCCAAAGTGCTGGAATTAGACAGGCTTGAGCCACTGCACCCAGCCAAGTTTCTTTTCCAACAAGCAGTTTCAGGGCAAGCTGCTGGGGGCTGTTCTGGCCCCTTGGTTTTCGGAACTCAGGTTTCCCTCCGTCTTGATTTTCTGCCTTCTGGTTTGGTCCAAGGTGGTGCCTCCAAGTCCACCTTTCAGGAGGCGAATGAAAGTCAGGGTAGGTCACTCCTGCTCTTGAAGGACACAGCCCATCATTGCACAATTCATTGCACTTGCACCCCATTGGCCGGTGCTTGATCACATGACTGTCCTAGCTGACAGTCCATAATTGCACAGTCCATGCTTGCCTCCCATTGGCTGGTGCTTGGTTACATGACCATCCAAGTGGACAACATATAATTGCACAATCCATCATGCTTGCCTCCCATTGACTGTTGCTTGGTCACATGACCATCCTAGCTGACAATCCATAATTGCACAGTCCATGCTTGCCTCCCATTGGCCGTTGCTTGGCCACATGGCCATCCTAGCTGATAACATATACTTGCACAGTTCATAATACTTGCCTCCCATTGGCTGGTGCTTGGTCACATGACCATCCTAGCTGCCAGTCCATAATTGCACGGTCCATGTTTGCTTCTCATTGGCCATGCTTGGTCCCATGACCATCCTAGCTGACAACACATACTTGCACAGTCCATCATGCTTGCCTCCCATTCGCTGGTGCTTGGTCACATGACCATCCTAGCTGCCAGTCCATAATTGCACGGTCCATGTTTGCTTCTCATTGGCCATGCTTGGTCCCATGACCATCCTAGCTGACAACACATACTTGCACAGTCCATCATGCTTGCCTCATTGGTTGTTGCTTGATCACATGACCATTCTAGCCGCCAGTCCATAATTGCACAGTCCATGCTTGCCTCCCATTGGCCAGTGCTTGGTCACATGGCCATCCTAGCTGCTAACATATAATTGCACAGTCCATCATGCTTGCCTCCCATTGGCTGGTGCTTGGTCACGTGACCACCCTAGCTGCAAGGGATGCTGGAAACGCAGTCTCTGGCTCAGCAGCCGGGGTCCCTGCTAAACAGGGCATTTCTGTAGAGGAAGTGGTTGTGCCATGGGCTCCTCGTCTCTGCTGCAGGCAGGATCCTGATTCTTGAGATCCTGATTGTTGACACAGTTCCTCCGTCCCTCAGCCAGCTTCAGGCGCCCGGTGGTCATCCTGGGACCCGTGGCCGACATCGCTATGCAGAAGCTGACGGCCGAGATGCCCGACCAGTTTGAGATCGCAGGTGAGAAGCCGGGTACCCGGCCACCTGGCCGGTGATTTGTTTCCCAGCTGCTTTGTGGGGGGACAGGGAACAGCCATGCAGGTGAGAGGCAGAGGAGCCACCAGCACCCCCTCCAGTGCCCAGGCCAGACCTCCTCAGCCGATCTGGGCACTGTGTGTCTGGATGGAACCTCAGACTCTTTCTTAACATTCCCCCTTAGGTAGCCATTGCCAGTTGAGACAAGGTGCTACCCGTTCCTTCATTTGTTCAAGAGATGTTTATTGGTGGGCGCCGTGGCTCATGCCAGGCATCCTAGCACTTTGGGAGGTCGAGGCGAGAGGACTGTTTGAGCCCAGGAGTTAGGGACCAGCCCGGACACTATCTCTTAAAGAAAAAAAAAAAAGCTGGGCTCGGTGGCTCAGCCTGTCATCCCACGCCTTTGGGAGGCTGAGGTGAGTGGATTGCCTGAGCCCGCGGGTTCGAGACCCGCATGGGCAACCTGATGAGACCTCATCTCTACAATAAATCAAAGAATCAGCCGGGCGTGGTAGCGCGCTCCTGTAGTTCCGGCTACTCGGAAGGCTGAGGCGGAAGAATCGCTGGAGCCCAGCGGGTCGAGGCTGCGGTGGC